GAGCTCAGATTCTTTGGCTGTTAAAAATGTGAATAATTTTATTACTTCACAGGGTCGTGGGCATCAAAAAGAATGTCTGTGTTCAAGTGTTCTATAAAATGGTGCTATTTTATGCTATTTCTCTGAAGTCCCTAAGCTTCAGTACTTGGGTCAAGTCTTAAAGTACAAAATTAAGGCATCTAACTTCAGATAGTTGTTATAATCTTGGAACTCACAGATCTAATCGAGCCCAAAGTTTAAGCCTGCTGGTGGGAGATTAATTGAATGTGTACTGTTTCATCACTTGTTAGAATGCACAGAGGTATCAAAGATATGTGACTTTCTTGAAGGGCAGAAAATTTAAGTTTAGGATCTGGAATTTCTTAATGAATGCAGAAACATTACTTTCCATAAATGAATGCTTTCATTAAGTTAAGAACCTATAGTGAAGTTTACTCTTCCTGATATATCAAGGCCAAACTCTGATATGCAAGGTCTGCTTTAATCTGACTCCACCCTGTGTACTGGTCTTTGCCAATGTCCTTTTGTACTTGCACATATAGTTTGCTCTACTCAGGTAAATTTCTTTATTGCCTTTATAAATGCTGTGCTTATCCTTACTTCTGTGACTTTGGTCATGCTGCCTATCAAAGTTCTGGCCATCTTGTCCATATGGGCCTCTTGTGAAGGTCTCTCCCCTGACTTCAGCACATATTTTGCTGTTTGTCACTGAAATAGACTGTAAAGTACCCTGAAGACCATTACTGTCTTGTACTTTGATACTACCAGTGTTTTAGGTTTGATCTTTTGGTAAGCAAAAATATTGCTAGCAAATGTTGGTCCTGCTTGGGTAGCAGTTTCTCAGCAAGTCTTTAATTGCCTAACCCTAGACCATCATGTTTGTAGTATCTTCACAGTATGCTGGTCCCCTGATGGACTAATAGAAAGTAAATTAAGCATATGCCAAGTGCCAGTCATGGGAACTTTTCAAAGTAAAATTTGGTTTCTGTAGAGCGGATATGGACTACAGAGTAATAATTAAAGCAGATTTTGTTTGTTGAAATATTGGATGCAGTGCTATCTCAAATTGTTGCTTTTTATTATCTCTGCTGCTGATGGTGTTGGACATGCAGGGCTTTTAATAGTCTTACATGTTATACTGGTGGAATACTATGAAAATATTCCTGAGAAATGAATTCGTATATGCTATTTTACATGAAGAAACTGAATTGAGGTTATGTATTTTGCCTGATATCACACAGTGAGCATTGGCAGCATTTGAATCCAGGTCATTTTCCAAGTTCATTATTGTCTATTATGCCTTGTGGCTTCTGAATTTAGTATAATTTAGTTTATAACAGTAAAAATGACATATTTGTTTTAACATCTGCATGCTAGTGGAAGCATAAACTACAGTAAGTTGCATGACCTTAAGGGAAGATCTTTCCAAAGACTTCTTTATATGTTAAAAGTTGTTTAATAAGCATTCAGATGTTTTATAGTCACAGTGAAAGTCTTGAGTGCTTTTGACCATATTCTGTAACTGTCATCTTTTCAGGGTTCACACAGATTTTAATTATAGGTAATTTGACTGTTGAATAGATGATGGCTGTACAAGTGTTGTTAAAGTAAAATTTCATTTTAAATAGAAATGTGAATTTTCATGTTAAAGTTTCAACTTAAGCATATCTAGAACAGATCCGATCTTGTTTTTAATATCAGTTACAGTAGAAGATAGCTGTTCTTACGTTGCTGAGGATACTTGGTATTCTAGAGCAGTGTGAATGAAAATTGACTCTTGGTTTCATGTTCCAAACCTTTCCTGGGAGTTATAGCTAGGATTACCTGCTTGTATACTATTTAACTGCAGTTACTAGTTCAGGAATATAGATGAGCTGTAGGCATTTGAACTAGATAAAGTGTCTTCATGCTATTCAGAGTCGTTTTAAGTAGAGAGGATTCCTGAATTTAGTGACTTGTACATATTCTCTCTTCCTGCTCCATCTCCCCCTCCCCCCCCAGTTTGGCATTAAATAAACCATAATGTTGTTGTATTATGACTTGACATGCCACTGTCTGCTTTATCTCCTTCAGGTTCTTTGTTAGATATCTCCAAGTACAAATAGTTCACTTGCACAATTCATTGCTTATTGTATGGTTGCTGTTGAAGCTTTTTGTTCTCCACCAATTTTTTGTATTCCTAAAGTCCATATTCCCATACCACATAGGAAAGCAGAGCTTATTTTCAAATACCTACAGCAGAGTATTGGTGTTAATTGTTCTCAAAATTGATATACAAAATAGCACAGGTCAAACTATTTACCCCCAAGTAGCACAAGTAGGTTATATAAAAACATTTCTTTTAATATTTTTTTCTTAAAATCAGAGGGAAACTCAATGTTATCTGCCTTAAATAATTGGGGGAAATATTAAAGTAATATCTTTGCACATCCATATAGATAGAGGAAAATTGAATTGCTGAAATAGCTCGAAGAGTTTAATAGGTTTTGTGTTATTTTTTAAATCAGATATAGCTACTAGATCTAATGTGAAGATTTTTAAGCTAAAACTGACTGGTGGCAGATGAAATGAATATTACCTGCAGCTTCCTTAATATGTAGCCACTCATATTATGAATATAGCCTTCTGGAAACAGAATCTGTTGGAAACAGTGACTGGTTTATCAGTTTGTCAGATGATATATACACATGGCATCTGTACACTGTAATACTTGCTTGCATATAATAAATAACTAGAGATAGTTCTGTGATGTTTCTCACATAACCAGTTCTGCAGTGCTATGCTACTAGGGATAGGCAAACCTTTTATCACAAGTATGAAAGAGGCAGTTGTCAGAAGCTGTTACCCTCCTCTTTTTGCTTTTGTTTCCTCTTTTCTCTACCTGAGGCCTGCAAATAACACCTGCAAGCGCTGTTTATTTCATGGGACCAAAATTATAAATCCATTAAGAAAGTAAAGTAAGGGTGGAAGCAGGAAAGTTATGTTGCAAGGTTACAAACCTGCACAGAATCAGGTAAAGCTATGAGGCTGACGTCTCATGCTAAAAGCATAGCTAAAATTATTCTGTGGCTCAGTATTTTAATCCCTGGATTTTAATTATGTCTCTTAGTCTTTGGTAGGCTCTATAAATTGACAAATTTCCTTTGGTTCTAAGTAAAAATAATTCTGGAACCTTAAACTTGAGAGTATAATGTGCCAAATCATTAATCTTCAGATTACTAAATGCTAATTATCAAGATACTACGTATCAATGAATGTCTTGGAATCTTTGCTGTTAGCCTATTAAAAATATGCTGTGTGTCCTGAGGTTTTCAGTCTCATTAATTTGTAGGACCTAACCAGCCAAGTTGGACAACTTTTATAAGTTTCTTTTACCTACAATAGAAAGTGAAGTCTACTTAAATAATTTTTACTAATTTTAAGATTTAAAGCCACTTGTCCTTAAATTCTGGAGGGGACAACATTAAAGGTCATTGAAAAGTTGATAGCAAATTAACAGTCCTGTCCTCAAGTACTTTATAACTTGAGGGTGGGGGGCAGTATGAAAATACACAATGGTTGGGTTCTATGAGTAATTTGAAAAAGATGAGATTTCATTCTGACTTTACCAAGTTAGAATAGAAAAATGTGGATTTGTTGTTTATGAGATGAAAGTTGATGGTTAACTCCCAATTCAGAATTCAGCATTTTAAATTAACATTCCCTTAAGAATAAGTTCCTTAAAGTAATCTGTTCTGGCTGATTTTTAATAAGAACTAGTAGTTCACCAGTTAAGCATTTATTAAGTTCTAGATGCTAGAAATATGGACAAAAATTGAGCCCACCCTTCCATCAAGGAACTAACATTCTGTTTGGGGACACATGTATACACGTATCCAAATTGGGGAGGGGGGTGGTTAAGAGAAAGCTTCTGGGTAGACTTGGAGTAGTTTTAAGTTGAGATTTGAATGAAATTAGCAAATCTAAGGGTTAGGATGAGGAAAGAGCATATGCATAGCGTGGTCTATAATCAATTGATTTTTAGTACTTTGAAATTTGGTAGTGTAGGCTTTTTAATAATCAAAAGCTTAAATGAATAGTTCTCTAGTTTTACTGTTATCTTTAGAGCTTTGGTGATTGAGGTGGGGGGGTATGTAATCTGTATGTGTGTGTGCCACCACTCCCCCCCTCCTCCCCACACACACACACACACACACGCGCGCGCGCGCACACACATACACACTCCCACTCACTCACCCTAGTGAAAGCCAAAGTAGAAGAATCCAATGACTATTTATTGGGATAACCAAAACTTGAATTATAATCTTTTTTTTTTAACAGAATTCAAAGAAGCCTTTTCACTATTTGACAAGGATGGAGATGGTACTATAACAACAAAGGAATTGGGGACTGTAATGAGGTCACTTGGGCAAAACCCCACAGAAGCTGAATTACAGGATATGATTAATGAAGTAGATGCTGATGGTAAGACTTAAACAAGTTACATTCCTAGTCATGGAGCTTTTGAGCTCAAAGATTATAATCTGTTTCCATATAACTCTTTTCAGGTAATGGCACAATTGACTTTCCAGAATTTCTGACTATGATGGCAAGAAAAATGAAAGACACAGACAGTGAAGAAGAAATTAGAGAAGCATTCCGTGTGTTTGACAAGGTGCACAAACACTTTCATTCTAGTACCCTCAGAGGCATCAACACCTTTTCTATACTTTTAGGGTGGTTTTTTTGTTTGTTTGTTTGTTTTGGCTAGGAGAATTGAGAATGTGGCAAGAACAAAAGACAAACTGTCAATTTCTAAAGATGCTTCTTTGCATTTGCTTTATCACTATTTAAAGGCTCAACTAAATTTTTGTCTTAGGACGGCAATGGTTATATTAGTGCAGCAGAACTTCGCCATGTGATGACAAACCTTGGAGAGAAGTTAACAGATGAAGAGGTTGATGAAATGATCAGGGAAGCAGATATTGATGGGGATGGTCAAGTAAACTATGAAGGTAATCTTTTGCTTCTATGATTTTAATTGTTTTTATCTTGAGAGAACAGAAGTATTGTTTGCTATGAAAAAACTAAAATGAATTGAACAGTTGGAAATTAGGAAGTCAAGGCAGGGAAAGAGGACAGGAGGAGGGTGTAGTTACTACCTGCTTATAAGCTACCTACTTAATTAGAGAAACCTTATATAAAAACTAGACTTTTCAAGACTGGTTAAGAATGAAACGAATGAATGAAGATACTGGCTAAGTTCACATATTTACTAAGGAACAAGTAAGTGAGCTTAAACCAGTGCTGTAAAAGATGGTTGGACCCTCACTGTTGAGTGAGCTTATCTTTTGAAATAGCCCCAGTCTACTTTGTAGTAGCTCCAATTGTAAGTCATCTTGTGCCAAGCTAGCATGTTTCCCTTTAGAGCTGAAACCTTTTTTTTTTTCTAAGTGTAACTTTTTGTTTGCATAATTTCTTTCTGTAGATTTCTTGGTCCCAGAGAGCAGAACAACAAAATCATTTGTTCACAGACCAGCCCTTAATCCCTTCACAATTCTAGGCTTTTACATCCCTAATCCTCTGTGACATGGTTTCAAATCCTCTCATCCTTCTGGTTATACTCCCACGTGTATTCCTAGCCTTTTTAGTTAATGTCCCTTAAAAAGAGCCTTCCAGAATATTCTGGTCAGACCACATTGGAATGTAATGGACTGTTAACTGTTAGTTTGGCTTCTATTAATGCAACCCCACGTGGCCTTTGAAGCTGGGATCCACTTAGCATCTCCCTAGCCATTCTTCTCCCATTCTTTTACTTGGACAGTTGAGTTCTTAGATGGGAGGGTAGGGTGGAACTTTGCTTTTATTCCTAACCATAATAAGCTGACATTTATTTAGCACTTTAAGATTTGTAAAATATTTTATATTCTTTCATTTGAACTTTACAAATTTTTTGAGAATAGGTACCACAAGTGACAATCTTTGTAGTTTTGATGTCATCTGTGCCTTCAAGTCCTAACTTATAAAATGCTGAACTGGACTAGGATATGGACAGATCTCCAGGATACTCACCAGAGCTTGTCTTTGAGATACATTTTCTATCCACTGGTTATTATTTTGTTGGTCAGTCATTCAAGTGTTTTAAATCTATATACATCAAAAATAAGATACTTTGCTATGCTTGGATATCAGCAAGATATTGGACAGCATTTAACATGCATTCCCCTAATGTGCCCGTCTTAGTAAAATTGTCAGGAAAAGTAATGAATGAGGTTTGTGACCATTTTTGTTGTTTTTATTAGCAGCCTAACATGATACATTGATATAAGCAACCAAGCTTGCTTAGTAGCTATTTATGTTAAGATTTGCCCAGCAACAGAGTATAGTCAGATCTTAATGCATTAATGTAATAGGATATTACAATATCATTACTACATATGCGAGGAATACAATGAAATCTAGAAAGACCTTTATGAGACTCTGCCCAGCTCACACCCCAAAAGCAGAGATAGATGAATGGAATATCTGTAAGAGGATAGACAAGAATAAGTGAACAATGAATGTATTTTTTAAGCATGACATGTTTTTGGTAAACCTGTCCTGTTCCTTCTGGCTGTTAGTGATCATCAGCTTCTTTCCTAAATAGTCATAAACTAGTTTTTCAATATTATGGGGGGGGCAGTTGGTAGCTAATAAGTATCATGTGTCTGAGGTCAGATTTTGAACTCAGGTCTTCCTGACTCCAGGGCCAGTGCTCTCTCTACTGTGCCAATTAGCTGCCCCCTCTTTTTCCATTTTTGGAAAATGAATATAGTACTTGCCTGTATCACCGGTTTAGTGGTTCAGCCATCATACCCACAAGTTCTCAGTGCTGTAGGATATAAAAGTTCAAGTTAAGATCATGGGAAACATGCAGAGCTAGAAGGAACCTTAGGTTATTTAGCCAAACTCCCTCAGTTTGCAAATGAGGAAACTGGTTCACAACCTCAAGGTCCCAGAGCCAGGATTCAAAGCCATATTCTTTGATCCAAATCAGAGCTTCCCGAAACTACAAAACTGTTTTTTTGTTGGAAGCAAATAGGTGCTCTTATGATCTCCTCAATTTTGGGGGCTACAGTTTTTTGTTAACTACTTGTATAAAATGTTTCCAAAACTGAAAACAATTTTCCTTAGGAAAAGTAGACAAAAAAAAATGTTGAGTATTTCTTTCTCATTCTTGGGTTTATTGTCCCATTTGTCCCATCCATCCCTTCTTGGTTCCCGTCCATCCCCACCCCTCCAAAAAAAAGCAGAGTTTTGTCATTCTTACCAGTCCAGTCTTGATTCATTTTGGCCTTTATCTTGTTACTGGTACTGCTCTATTTGGAACCAAGTTTGGTACATAGCCACAGCTAACTTTAAATAGTTTCTTCTTTTATTCCTCACTGGATTTGTCTTTAAAGTTCACCAGAGTATCCCATGGCCTTTGAGAATAACAACTTGAAATTCAAGGCTGTCTGGAACTTGGAAGAAAGGGGCGCTCTTAAAAATATGTCTTAAGATATATGTAGTAACTAGTTATTTGAGCCTTAAAATCATAAACTGCTTTATCCACAAGTAATATAACCATTAAGTACCTAAATCTCATAGACTACTTCAGCTAATTAAAATTGGTTGCAATTTTTTCTCTTATTTTATTTCACATACAAGTCTAAAAAGTTTTGATGGGAGAGGGGAGGTCGTATATCTCTGGTATCTTTATTTGTGGAGTAGTGGAGAAAAAGTATAGGGTAATTTAAATTGATGATAAAAGGAAATATGTTTTTTGTTTTTGCGAAGTCAAATATGCAACTTATATGTACTTTTTCTTTACAGAGTTTGTACAAATGATGACAGCAAAGTGAAGACATTGTACAGAATGTGTTAAATTTCTTGTACAAAATTGTTTATTTGCCTTTTCTTTGTTTGTAACTTATCTGTAAAAGGTTTTCCCCCCTACTGTCAAAAGGATATGCATGTGTAGTAATTAGGACTTCATTCCTCCATGTTTTTCTTCCCCTTATCTACTGTCATTGTCCTGAAACTTTATTTTGGAAAATTGATATGTTGCATGTGGCTTACTCTGGATATATCTAAGCCCTTCTGCACATCTGAACTTAGATGGAGTTGGTCAAATGAGGGAACATCTGGGTTATGCCTTTCTTTTTTTTAAAGAAGTAGTTTTCTTTAGGAGCTGTCAGCATGTTGTTGTTGAAGTGTGGAGTTGTAACTCTGCGTGGACTATGGACAGTCAACAATATGTACTTAAAGTTGCACTATTGCAAAACGGGTGTATTATCCAGGTACTCGTACACTATTTTTTTGTACTGCTGGTCCTGTACCAGAAAACATTTTCTTCTATTGTTACTTGCTTTTTAAACTTTGTTTAGCCACTTATTTAAAAAAAAAATCTGCTTATGGCACAATTTGCCTCAAATCCATTCCAAGTTGTATATTTGTTTTCCAATAAAAAAAATTACAATTTATCCATTGTTTCTTTGTATCTTTGAGTTATTTAAATTATGTAAATACTTTTATCTTCAGAATTAAGAATCTGTTAGAAAATAAGGCAAGTCAGGGTAAATTTACTAATGTAAAAGAATTTGGAGAGTACTTTTTGCATTCGTGTCATTTTAATCCCTTTTAAGAATACTATTTTGACTAATATCCTCGATAGAAGTTAACTTTCATATTGAATAAAGCATATATGTCATGGATAGTAAGTAGTAGAAAACAGTCTTCAGATTTAACAATACAAATATTTTTCTTGTTGACCTAGGTGTAATGATTTGCAAGATTTTATCTTTAGAAAACTTAGCCCTTTAGATATAGGAATGATCAATCTGATATTTGGGTTTGACCTGAGTCCTTTTGGGGAAAAGAATAAAAATAAAAATATGTCTCTATCCTCTGTGATTTCAGGAGATCAAGAGACGTCAAAGTTACTGGCATCTTCTGGCCTCAGAATTGATGCTTTACTCTTTTCTAGTTTTACACAGTATTAAGTGCTTATCCTGGGCAAAAGCAAAGAAAATTATGTTGTCTTAACCATCAAAGAACTTGTCTTAGATCAGTGGATAAATACAAAACAGTATTTTATAAAGGTATGTTAATGGAAGTTGATTCTATGTTTGAAATTCAGTCAGTTCAGTAAGCATTTGTTAAGTTCCTACTCTGTGCCAGGCACTGTGCTAATAAAAGCTGGGAGGGGAGGGAGGACAGAAGATAAGAGTCCCTGCCTTCATGGAGCTCACAATCTAATAATGGCTCCATTTTTGTGCCAAAGGATCATTGGTTCATATTCCTCAAAGAATTTTTAAATAGAAACTTCCTAGGTGAGGCATTTGTGCCACCGTGTCATTCTCCCCTCTCCCCCCCGCCATTTTGCAGTACTAAAGTAAAATGGAATAAAATCTTGAATAAAGAATTGTTTCTAAAAGGAAATATTAGTTAAATAACAAATGAAAAGATTCTGAAACATCAAAATGCATTAACATTACAAAATCACTTTATTATACAACCTATTTAAAGCACTCTAATTCTGTTATTAGCATGGAATTAGTTTATAATCAGAATTATCAAGTTGTGGGAAATTGTATGGGCTTAGTAATCTTTTATGAAACTAATTGTGTGCTTTGGCTATATTTCTAAACTGGTTGGAGTTTTAGACAGGAGTGTAATAAAGTGTAGATGTTGGGAGAGGAAAAAAGAAAAGGGGAAGCCAGCTATTTGTTAATTATCTGAATTTTTTTTATACTGCATATAACGAAAATCAGAGATTTCCATATACAAAGCTAGAGCAGGAAAAGAAACAAATATGTTAAGCTTTTTTAAGCCTATAAAATGTGTTAATTTTTTGAAGCTGTCCTTGTCTGTGATAGGAAAACTCATTGGATAAAATGAGGGTTCAGATTTTTTAGTTTTACCTAGACTGTCCAACTGCCTCTGTCCTCTTTTCCTTTCCCTGATGTTCCAAAAGATTTAAAGTGTGTAATTGATTGTTCATGACAATGTACTTAGGCCCAATTTCTGCTTATTAGTAATTTGGAACATTCTATACTGTCACTATTGAACAACCCTCACTGTTTTGTGTGCCATTTATTCCTTGTGTTTGTATTCAACAAATATTTATTTAAATTTTGGAATAGCCCTTCTCCAAAGTCAGTCTTTTTACTATTAACTTTGGTATGTGCCGATTACAACTGTGTAACTTGTTCCAGCTAAAAGGAAGCATGAAATTATAGGTCCAATCCCTATACCTATGTTAAAAAAAAAAAAGTACCTGGTATGGGTAATGCCTCCATTAAAGTCCTCTGGTACCTCATGGTGTGGTGACTGGATTCTTGAAGGTTATGCCAACAAAACAAGCTTTCATCGGTCTTAACCAAGCTTGAAGACTGCTTGGTAAAGGCTTAAACATGGGCCTGGCCTCATAGCAATGGGATTTTTCTTTCATAATTCTCAAAAAACATTGTCATAATGGGGTTTGGGTTGGCTGGTTGAGGGAGTATTAACACCAACAGCATCAGAGATCCTTGACTTAAATTGCTAAGAGGTAAGAAGAAACAAAAGACGGGTCCCTGTTCTATAATCTGAAATCGGTGGCTGCCAGAAATCTGCACAGAAGGATTTTGTTGGAGATTGATGGTAGGATTCAGAGCACTACCTAAGACTTAATTTTGTGAACACAAGTAGAAGAAGTGACTTACAGATTAACACAGGAGATGAGAGGCAACACACCTTCGATGTTTCAGGCGTAGTTTTATGGGGCCCCATAAGTTCCCTAGAAGTTGTAACTGCAATGGAATGGAATTAGAGTGATTAGACTCAGCACAGTTTGGAAAAAACCCATGTGATTAGGGCCAACACATATTTTTGAAAACAGAAAACTAATTTTACTTGCATAAGAAATGATTTCTCTAGCTGCAAGTGTTAAGTAGAATGAAGCAGTGCTGTCAGGTACTTCAAAGGCATGGGAAGAGGGGAGGGAAAGAAAAGGGAAAAAGAAGATGGGAAAAAAAATACCAACAATTGCCTCAGGTGTGTCAGTCACCTGAGGATTTGGAACCCAGTAAGGTGAATGCAAAGGTATTGGAATCAAGAAGGTGTAGTAGAGAAACCAGGAAGGATGCATTTTAATAAAATACTTGATAACATTTTTTGTTAAAATTTAGTTTTGTACAAGTTAAAGAAACTGATAGTATCTTTACTGCAATGGGGTAACTTGTCCAAGGTCACACAGCCAAGAGAACTTTTCAAGGAAGTTTGCTTTCTCCATCCAACCTTGCCTTTTCCTTCATTAGTGCCTTTCCATGCAGAAAACATTTCATTAGGATTTTTTAATTAAAGGACTTTTTTTGTCCCTTTGCTGCAATTGGCTTTTAAGCACCCTGAAAGCATAGGTCCATACATTGCTGTCTTTGATGTGACTATAAGTATCTAAAATGTCTCTCATATAGATAGATGTTACTCCCTCCTATAGAAGAAACAATGTGTCTTCTGCCTACATTAATATAAACGTGTTAGGCCCCCCTTTAAACCCTGCCTCCTCTATTCAACATATTTTATTTCACTGAAACTTTTGTGCGCATTTGAAGAAAAAAGCTATTTAAAAGGTCTATTAACACTAGCCCAGGAGTTTTGCCTCCAGGATCTAATCCTTCTCTTACCTATTCTGTAAAATAGGGACAATAATAACTTGAAGTTATTATCCACTTCATAGATTTGTTATGAGGAAGCTGCCCAAGATATTTTAAAGCCCTTCGTAAATGAGATTTCTCTGGGATTTTCTTGGCTAGCAGAGAAACTGCTGCAAAGAACTTCATCATATTGTCTAGTGAAGTCCTATTCCCTTTCATACAGATTAGGAAGCATGCATTGACAGACTACTTGGCTTCACCGGCATTCTACATCTCAAGACCTAGACCCTGGTCTGAACCTCCTTGCAATGTGTGTGTGACCTTGTCCTGTCAGTTTCCTAGAATCAAAAGTGAAAGAATTTTGAATAGAAAGAAAAGGGGCAACATGAAGTGAATGGCTTTCTTTCATCATTCCAAAAGGGGGTGTTTTACTGATTTCAGATTAAGTAAATGACTAACAGAACAAGGCCGAAGTGTGCGACTTGGTGATATTCCATTAGCTGCTGACGAACTGCTGGAACTAGAGCTCGGGTCTTCACTAAGTCCAGCCCTTTCACTTCATTCGCTGTCGTGGGACTATCACTTTAAAAGGTTCGAGTGGAATATTTTCAGCTTGAGGACGTTATGTTTCGTACCTACATGTTCTTCCCTTCCCAGGGGTTTCTAAGCAGAAAGCCAAGTCTGGGTTGTTTTTTTTTTTCGTCTTATGTCTTCACACCTTGGATGCATCCTCTGTGACTTCCCCTACCTTTTGTGAATCTGACTACATTTTATAGTTCTGCGTCCCCCTAGTCCTTATGTCTTGTTTCACCCTTTTAGTCCATTTGCCTGTGCTGTGTGTTTATAAGGACTCTGGGCCCAGAGAAAATTTCCTCCTTGGTTACCTCTCCACCTGCACCCCCGTGTACCCCAGGCGCAGCCCTTGGGGGTGGACCACACTAGCTGGAGAGCGGGGGCGGACATCTGTTTCCTAGCAACGGGATGCCATAAGCAGAGGTCAAGACTGTCGTGAAGGAAGGTCTCTGCCGTAGCTGTTCTTCGGGATATCCACCAGCAGCTAGGTATTACGGGAAACGGAGGACTTAACCTGGACCAAGGTCCCTTTGACCGCCCCTATCCTCAGCTCGGGGGGCATCCACACTTCCTCCTCCCCAGGGCACCCGATTCTCCCAGTTCCTTCTCCCTCCTTTGCCACATCCTTCCCTCCCGCTTTATACTCACTTGCATAGCTATTTTCGAAAAGTGATTAGTTTTTTCCTTCCTCTCGTTCCATTAGAATGGGTCATAGGAGCATAGATGTGGAGCCAGGAAAGGCCTTAGAGATTATTTATAACAATACTCCCTCACCCTACTTCATTCTAACGAGGAAAGTGAAGCCCAGGGTCACTAAGTGATTCCCTCAAGGTCACAGAGCTAATTAGTGGAAGAGACAGGATTCTGACCCGGGACCTATTTCTGTTATTGCACACTGCCCTCTTAAATTCCCAAAGCACCCATGAGAAGATGGGTTTTTTCTTTCTTAGTAAATCTCACATATAGTGCAATCCAAAAAAATATTTTTAAGCACATACTATATGCCTGGTATTGGGGATACAAAGAAAATGAAAAAACTGCACCAGCCCTCAGGGAGTTTCCATTTTACTTTTACTTTACAACTGTAAAGAGATAAGTAACCACATAATAATTTGAGGGGAGAGCTGTAATAACTAGAGGCTGGGAAAGGAGCCTTCTGGGGCTCTCCTCTCTTGTATGAGATCACACATGAAGAGAAACTTGAAGGAAGTTAAGGATGATGTTGGGAGGCAGAAGTGAAGGAATGCATTCCAGGCATGGGGGACAGAAGTTTAATCAGATTTTAAGAAAAGAAAATTTCCCCATAAATGAATGTAAATGGACCAATAAATGCAAAATCTTCAACAGTCAAGTCCTGTTTGCCAAACAAACAGTATGCCATAGAGTCTGCTATCATTGTTTTTCCTTTGTCGGGGAAATTTGGTTTTGTGTATGGGAGATATCCCAAGGATTGGGACCAGGGTAGGTATATTTTTTATATTTTTGTGGGTATATTTGTGCAACACTTTGAGGGTGTGGGGAGGAGGTCAGGGAGGGAGGAGCGATTTTATATCGGTAGATATTCAGGAAAAGGCCACCATTCCAAAGTGATGGGAAAAGGGACTTGGGAGTAAGAGCCAGGAAGATACAACTTAAAGGAGTTTTTCCTATGCTTGTGCTTTTTTGATGGAACCTCAGTACAACTCAAGAGATAAATGAAGGTTTCCTTTGCAGCCAGTGCACATTACGCATCTTAAAAATGCAATTTATTTTGCATTTTTTCATACTTTTGCTACTATAAGAAAATCAAATGATGATTTAGCTCTCTTATTTGCTGAAGCTAATTCACATATATATTTTGGCGGGGGGCTAGGCAATGGGGTTAAGTGACTTACCCATGGTCACACAGCTAGTAAATGTTATATGTCTGAGGCTGGACTTGAACTCAGGTCCTCCTGAATCCAGGGCCAGTGCTCTATCCTCTGCATCACCTAGTTGCCCTTGCTGAAGCTAATTCAAACAGTTATTTGAGAACTGATTGAGAAGTAGAATTATCTCCATTTCAATAGTTTGACCTTATAAATGTCTGAGAGATGTTTTTGCCAGAATGTATATATAACATTACAATTTACAGAGAGAACTGTAACTACATATTGCAAAAATATTTGACTTGTTTTAAAGCACTTGGTTGGGTTTTTTCAGAGCAAAAAGAATTATATAGGAAAAAAGTCTATAATTTTAAAATGTTAATATTTTAAGATATTTATGTAAACATTTTTAATCTTTTTTTAAACATAAAAAAATTTTATAGCCAGTATAGCAAGAGAAATTTGACATCTTGCTATGCTAACTAATATGCCTTGACCATCTTCTTGTTTATTCATAGATTGGAAAAGAAAGATGAGCTTTCCTGGTTTTCCCTCCCCAATTTCCAAATGAGATTCAGTTTGAAGTAAATTAGTCTAAAAGAAGAAAAGACTGTCACCAACTTCAAAAGAAGCTGCCGCTGTTGCATTGGAATCTCAAGTGCTAAAATGCCTTCTACAAGGGTATTGCTTTCTTTCAAATCTCATCAACAAATATGTATTTCTTGAGTGGTTCATTCATCCTTAGCACTGAAATGTATTATTTTGGTTGTCATGGAGAGAAGATGGCTAGATGTCTCTCTCATAGTCAACTTGTTCTTCTATAGTTACAAATTGACCCTGAACATCATCATGAAACTAAAAAAGAAAGAAAGAAAGAAGATAACTGGGAGATAAAATTTATCGTGACCTATAAAAGTTTTTTAAAATTGTTATATGACTATACCTTAAAGCTCAAGTGTCATGGACTTAGCTTTTTGTTTGTCATGGACCCCATTGGCAATTTGGTGAAACCTATGAACTCTTTCTCAGGATAGTGGTTTGCTGCCTGCATTCATAGTTGAAGGAAATGCTAAATTTCTGTTAGAGGTTTTCCCCGTCCCAAGTTTACAGACCTCCTGATCACCTTCTGAATCTAATATTTTTGGAAGAAGCATTTTAACTAGAATATTTTAGATTAGATTTTTTTAAAAAAGCATTGATTTGAAAAAAAAAAACAGCCTAATAGTAAAATGAGGTGTTACTAAAAATTACAATAGATAATAATTTGTTAAAAGTATTTCATAGTCACTGTCGACCTGAAAGTTGGTTAAAGAGACAACAAGCTAGGTGATAAGTAAATTCATATTGTTTTATTCCTTATTCCCTTAAGTTAGCGCACATGTACATGGAATCAGAGCTTTAACTCTGATTGACTCAAGCAATTTTAAGAGGACATTTAAATCCTAACTCAGGATGACTGTGTTACTAAAAAAAAAAATACAGCATCCATATGTTTTTTAACATATAGCATAAAAAAGGAAGTTTCTTAATTGCATAGATTGTAAATACAATAGAAGAATGGCAAAGTATTAATCAAAATTATAGATCCAGGATATCTGTGTTTCCCCTACATAACATATGTCCATAGGATACAAAGATAAGAAAAGTCCCAGTATTCAAGAGAGTGTCTGGAACCAGGTATCCTGTATTTAGTGATCACAAACAGGAAGAATGCCGGTCAGTTCCATCTGGTCCTGTAGTTGCTGACATAGGAAGGGGTATTTTTAGTTCACTCAGAAAAGATTAATTCAGGTTTTTGGCCCTTATTGGGGCTCAGTTGATCTTAAATGATTATCAAAACATATAAATAATAATAATAAATATGAAGGTACCATTAAAGTCCTATTACGTATAAGAATTGGTGGGCCAGAAAGTGAAGATACTGTTGAAGGAATTTTTACTTTAGTCATTGACTTGAATAAACCACCAATTTTGGACTTCAATTTTCAGGGTCTTACCAGAAAGTTAATTATTTCCAAACATTTTACTCAGTAGGAGTCACCTGTACTAAGTTGGAATTATTGTCCATTTTAATTATAATGTTCTTCCTAGTTTATCATTGTGTATACAGTCATGAAAAGAAATTATCTCCTAAAAGGTGAATCATGTTGTAGCATAATGACCATTTGGTTATTTTATATGTATTTTTCTAATAGTCATAGAAATTTAATAATCAAACATGGAGTCTTGAGATAAATAGATCTTGATTTTACTTCCTTTCCTGAGGTATAGGATAGAAAGGGATATTTTATATGACAGCCCTTTGAGGTTCTATAGGCAGAAGAACTTTATAAATCCAAAGTGATATTATTTCATAGTATTGTACTATAGTGAAAAGAACCTTTGACTTAGAGTCAGAGGACTCAGATCTGAGTACTGACTCTGATCCTTATTGGGCAAATCATTTAACCTTTATGAGGCTCAACTTCCTTATTCATGCAATGGAGAGAATAATATATGCACTAACTACTTCTCAGTGTAATTCTGAAGAAAGCACTTTCTAAGTCCTAACGCGCTATTAAACTGTGAACTGTTCTTTGTATCCCAGAACACTTACAATGTGAACTCATTGTAACAGGGCGTGTACATCATAGTAATTTGTTGTTGGAATAAAAACCAGTAGTAATAAGGCAAATGATGAAAAATACCATATTCTAAACTAGCACCAAAATTATGATAGAGCCCCAGCACATTAAAACTACCCTCCCAGGGTATAGAAATCTACTGGTTGGCTGATCATGATGATAGCTATTTTGATATTCTGTGGTTTGATACCTTCCTTTCCCCACCCCAACTTGCAACCCAAAATTTACTTCATACATACATTTGCTTATTTTTCTATGTATGAGTTGGTTAGCATAGCATTACAACTTATTAATATTTCAAACTGTAAGGCAATTCAGATAGTTATGATATACCACTGTTGATATAATTCATAAAAAGGTAAAAAAAAAAACCTAAGTACAGTGAGCTGTACTCTAGATCTCAGTTGTAATCCTAGCTTCTTAATTTAGTAATTGGACAGTTTAGGTTTGCTGGGGAAATAAGTCCACAATTGAAAAAAGTTAATCCGTGGTAGATCCTTGTAATTTAAAAATATTTTCTTTTTCTTTACTTCCCTTTGTAATTCCTTATTCTGTCTTTGGCCACATATCTAAAAATAATGGCAACTAACATTCCTAGAGTAGTTACAAGAATGATAAAAACATGAATTACAAAACATTTAATATTAATTTATCTCATCTGAGCCTTACTATATACATATACATATACATATACACACATGTATACATACATATATATTTTGTGTGTGTATGTATACATATATGTTGAGGTTTAGGGATGCTGGGACCCCAAAATCACGATACATGGGTCCTGTCTGAATGAATTCGACCAACCCCCCCAAAAATTGTTTCAACTGAGGACAAGGTTTATTAAAGATCCACCATATTGGCCAGACTCTTAAGAAATCTGAGCATTTGTGAGCGATTGGTGAGATTATGAGAATCTGAGCCCTTGGCTAGGTTCTTAAAGAATCTGAGTATTTGGCTAGATTTCAAGAATCTGAGCATCTTAATGGAGACAAGATGAATCTTATATACAGAAAGACTGTGGGAGGGATCCAGGAGTGGCCAAGTAGTCTGGGGTGACTGGAAGAAGGGCCTAAGGGGCATCTGGGTGGGAGTGGCCAATAACCTGGAGCAAACAGAACACCAGGGACCTGGATCACAGAATGGGGTCTAGATAGGATTAAGGGTGAGAAGTGGCCAGGGGCAATCAGGAGGTAATAGAATAGAATTGGGAGATTGGGCATAACCACAATGAAAGGCCAGTTGAGTGGATTACAGCCTCAGGTAAAAGCCAGAGATTTGGAAAAAGTCCAGGGATTTCCTTTTTTGGGGTCCAGATTCCAAAGACATGGTCTTTTCCTTTTAGGGGTTCGGATCCCATCCCATCCCATCATATATATATATATACACATACATACACACACACATGTATGTATGTATGTATGTATGTATATACATATGTATGTATGTATGTTATATACACACACACATATAACATATACATATACAATACACACACACACACACACACACACATATATATATATATATACATATATATATATATATAAAATATATATATATATATAAATCTAAGATCCATGGGTGATATTGGGAAGCCAAGTGTTAGAGAGATTAAGTGATTTACCCAATACCACATAGCTACTATATGTGTTCAAGTCAAAATTTGAACTTGTATTTAACACTCTCTGCTATTATTATGCTGTTTCTTAGTATTTACAGAAAAATGGAGTGGGGGTGGGGAACATCAAGGAAGAAAGGTTATGTGTAGATGATTAGTTTTCATTCCATCTTTCCTATTCTCAAGAGATTATAGGGTCACAGAGCTAGAAGGGACCTAAGAGGCCACCTAATCAATTCCTTTATTTTACAGATGAGAAACTGAGGGTCGAAGGGCCAAACTGAATCCTTTCTTCTCTTTTCTATCCATTATCAGGGATCTTCTAATGATATCTCTCTCTGCCCAACCCCCATAACTGAATCCCCAGAGGCTGGAAGTGAGGAAGAAATGTTTTTTGCTTACCTGTCATTTTGATGGAAGAAAAAAAAAGTGATAAGCTTAAAAATGGGGGGAAAAAAATCATAATGAAAGGGTGAGTTAGGGAAATGTGGGATACTAAAGAATTAAGGGATCTTGTATCTAATTCCTAAATGAAACTCTTAAGTTCCTGTTTAATAACATTAGGAAAAATAATAATGATGATGCCTTTCATGTGTGTGGGTCTTTATAGTTTGCAAGACATTTTCTGGCACATTTTCTTATGTAATCTTCACACTGACCCTTCAGGGTAGGTAATATTCCCATTTTACAGATAAGGAAACTTAAACTCAGAGAACGTATGGCTTATATATTTTGTTAGGTAGCTATCTATGCCTCCATTTCTTTCATTCACTCATCAATCTCTTTTGCAGCCTGGTTTTATCTTTACCATATTGTTGTCACTGTATAAATTGTTCTGCTGGTTTGTTCACTTCATTCTGCATGTGTTCATACAAGTCTTCCAAAGTCTCTCTGAAATTATCTCCTTCATTACTTCTTACATAGCAATAATATTCCATCACATTTATATACAATACCCTGTTCAACCATTCATCAACTGATGGGTACTCTCTGATTTCCATCCTTTGCCACCTCAGAATGAGCTATAAATATTTTTTGTACATACTTAGTTAGAATTTGTTATGCTCAGGATTGACCCCTCTCAATCTACTCTCCGCTCCTTTCTTCCCTCTCCTTTCTATTTCTCTGTTAAGTAAAATGTATTTCTGTACCAAACTGTGCATATATTCTTCTCTCCTTTGACCAGTTCAGATGGGAGTGAGGTTCAGATGTTAGATGCTCCCTCCGAGGCCCTCCTCCCTGTTGGTATAGATGTCTATTTGTGTATCCTGATTATGTGAGATAATTTTCCCTAACCCCTAGTATATTCCTCTTCCCCTCTCTTTTTATTCTCTTAAGATCATCAAGATATAACGAAATCATTCTTAGGCCTTGTCTAATTAGGCTCCTTCTGTGTTCTCTGATAATGATGGAGTTCAGAGGGTCACATGCATCATTTCCCCACATTAGAATTCAAATCATTTATATTTTTGTTTAATCCTTTATCATTCATTAGTGTTTACTTTTTGTTTCTCAACTCCTATGTTTGAACTTCAAAGTTTCTATATAGCTCTGGCCTTTTTATCAGGAATGCTTAGAAGTTCTTTATTTCTTTAAAGATCCATCCATCTCCATGTAGCATTATATTCCATTTTGCTGGGTAAGTTATTCTTGGATGTAAGCCCACATCTTTTGCCTTCTGGAATATTGTATTCCAAGCTCTCTGCTCCTTTATGGTGGTGGTTACTAAATCATGTGTGATCTTTACTGTGGCAACTTGGTACTTGAATTCTGTCTTTCTAGCTGCTTGCAGCATTTTTTCTTTGACCTGGAAGCTTTGGATTTGGGACACACTGTTCTTGGAAGTTTTCATTTTGGGGTTTCTTTTAGGAGGTGACCAGTGGATTCTTTATATTTCCACTTTGTTTTCTGTTTCTAAGAGATCTGGGCAATTTTCTTTTAAGATTTATTCAAATATCATGTTTTAGCACTATTTTTTTGGTTGTGATTTTCAGGTAGTCTAATGATTCTTAATTTTTTTCATCTCAAATCTGTTGTACAGATCAATTGTTTTTAATAAACACCTTACATTTTCTTTTTTTTAGCCTTTTGACTTTGTTTTAATATTTCTTATTATCTCATGGATTAATTAGCTTCTATTTTGTCCGTTCTAATTTTCAGGAAGTTCAGGAAGTTGTTGCTCTGGCAATGTTTTGTACCTCTTGTGCATGTTATTAATTCTCTTTCCAATTTTTTCTTCCATAGATTTCATTTCTTTTCCAGTTTTTTTTTTCCCTTTAGCATTTATTTATTGATTGAAAAAACATTTTAAAGCTTTTTTTTTAAAGCAAACTCTCATATCATCCTTTCTTGGAATTCTAGTTAAGTTTTTGTCCAAGTTGGAGTTTTATGTTTGGTTTTGTTTTTAGATGTTTTGGTTTTCTGTGTTTTTTCTTGAATATCCTTGTCACCATAAAAGTTTTTTACAATGGGATTCAATTTTTTTATTTGTTCTTTGTCAGTTAATAAATATTAAGTGCCTGCCCTACTATGTGTCAGGCACTATGCTAAGCATTGAGGATACAAAAAGAGACAAAAGATAGTCTCTCTCTCCACAAGGAGCTCACAATCTGGTTCGTTCACTTCACTCTGCATGTGTTCATACAAGTCTTCCAAAGTCTCTCTGAAATTATCTCTTTCAGAAGAAGGCCCAGTACAAAACCCTATGGGACACCTGTGGTTAGAAAATGAGATCTGGATGAGGATTCAGCAGAGACTGAGGGGTGGTCACATAGGCAGGAGAAGAACCAGGAAAGAGCAGTGTCCCAAAAATCTAAAATATTAGGAGCAGGAGGGTGATCAACAGTGTCAGAGGCTTCAGAGAGATAGAAGAAAGTAAGGATGGAAAAAGGCCATTGGGCTTAGCAATTAAGAGATCATTGGTAATTTTGGGGAGAGCTGTTTCAGTGGAACAATGAGGTTGGAATCCAGATTGTAAGGGGTTAAGAAGAGAGTGAGAGGAGAGAAAAGAGACGAGTATTTTAGGCCTTTTAAAATAATTTAATCACAAAAGCTCTTCGCTTACCTTCTGACTTCAAACTTGCAAGCTTACAGTGGTCTGATCCAGGGCAACATCTTGATCACCTCCCCCCGGCCTGACCTCTGCAATTCCCTGATCTGGATTTGGGTCTGAGCAGCAAGGTGGTGCAGTGGATAGAATACTAGCCCTGGAGGCAGGAGGACCTGAGTTCAAATCCAGCCTCAGATACTTACTAGGGGTGTGACCCTGGGCAAATCACTTAGCCCTCTTTGCCCCAGTTCCTCGATCTGTAAAATGAGCTACAGAAGGAAATGGCAAACTACTCCAGTATCTCTGCCAAGAAAACCCACAATGGGGTCATGAAGAATTGGGCATGACTAAATGACAATGAAAAACAACAGAAGATTGCTGCTTTACTCATCTGCTATCAGTTAACTGGGAAGCCCTGTTGGTTCTGGGTGACTTTCCTTCCCTTTTTGTCAGGGATTCCTGCCCTGGTTATTCTTCTTCAGGTCTCAGGTTCAGCTAGGAGTTGGAACTGAAACCCTCCTCTGCTCCTAGGGTAGGCATCACACAAGTTCAGAAGAATTTGTTTCTCTTAGTCTGCAGCCTATACCCAGAACACCACCCTTGGGTGCAGGTTCCCTTCCACTGTCCACCTAGATCTGTGACCTAGAACTGGGTAGGGAACAACAAAGCTGCCAGTTGGCACCTGTTTCCCATTCCCTATATGGGTCTAGGTCTAGGTAGGACCACTTCTTATCCTGGGCCATAGCTTTCCCTGGGTGCAAGTGCACTTGGCCAGAGATGTCCCCAGTATCCACAGACTTCTTTGTCTCCTTAGGATGACCTGGGCTGGAAAAGGGACTTAATTGTGACTTTTTCTTAGATTTCTCCACCAGGATTTGGTATAGCGTGTTTTCTAGTTTGGAAGAGTTCTAGTGTGGAGCTCACCATATTGCTTCCTGCTTCTCCACCATCTTGCCTCTATCTGCCAATGATCACTTCATTGTAACCCTGATAATCTTTTCTCAATCGTATTTCTTCATGACCTCCGCATCATTTGACACTGTTGATCACCCTCTCCTTCTGAACACTCTTTATTCTCTGGGTGTTCGTGATACTTCTGTCTTTTGGCCCTTCTCCTGCCTATCTAATCACTCCTTCTCAGCCCCCTTTGTTAGCTCATCATTCATAACATACCCCCTGATTTTAAGGTTTCATTCTGGACCCCTTCTCTTTATTCTCTATGCCTGCTCCTAGTGAACTTATCAAGTCCTATGGGTTTAATGGTAATCTCTATGTTGATGACTGTTAGATCTTTATATCCAACCCTAACTAGTCTCCTGAGCTCCAGTCCTATATCTCCAAATACTGATTAGACATTTCACACATGTTCCATAGGCATCTCAGACTCAGCATGCACAAAACAGAACTAATGATCTTTCCCCAAAAACCCCATCCTCCTAGCGACCTTCCCTATTTCTGTTAAGGGCGCCACCATCTCCCCTGCCCTTCCGAGCTGGTGTACCTGGTCATTCTTGATTGCTCATTCTCACTCACCCTCACATCTAATCAGTCATGAGATCCCATCACTTATGCCTCCATATCTTTACTTAGGTCTCCTCCACTAATACAGCTACTACTTGAGTTCCGACAATATTACTTCTTGATATTCTTTTGTGGTAACCTCTTAATTAGTCTCTCTGTCCCCATACTAATCCATCCTCCACAAAGCTGCCAAAGAGATTTTCCTAAAGTCCAGATCTGTTCATGTCATTCCCTACTCAATAAACCTCAGTGGCTTCCTCTTCCATCAAGGATCAAGACCAGAATATAAGACCAAATGCAAATGTTTGGCCTCCACCTTTTGCAGCTTTATTTCACATCACTCTCCTTTATATATATTATATATAAGTATATAATATATGTATACATATATTAATATAAATTTCATATACACTAGGGTCAATCCAAAATGGTTTTCTTAGTATTCATCACACATGCCATTTCGCATCCTTTCTCTGAGACTCTCTTCCCTGTGCCTAAAATTTGCTTTTTCCTAATTTCCATTTCTAAGAAGCCCTAGCTCCCTTCAAGGCTCAGCTCAAATGACACCTGCTACATGAAACCTTTTCTGATCTCCCCCAAATGGCCTTCTATCTATTTTGCCAATGCCCATGTGTGTGTGGGGTGTCTACCTGAGCTATGTAGTAAGCTCCTTGAGGGTAGAGACTGTTTCACTTCTGTCTTTCTGTCCTCCAGCAGTGCCCAGCACATAGTAGATGCTTAGTAAATGGTTGTTGATTATTCAGACCATAATCATCTCAGCTATAAGCATAATTATAACACTACCTTGTGTTTATACAGCTGCTTTCTTCCTAAAAATCCAAAGCATCCTCATAGTTAAGATTTCCTTCTGGTGGCAAGGTAAATTATCCAAATTTGACCAATGTAAATTTTAAGGCAAAAAAAAAATTTAAGATAAAAAGCAAAGTGTAAGCAAATATTTCTTTCAGGGAAAAATTTTTTATGTAGTCTTGATTTTGACATAAAGATTAAAAGAACCTTTGGGGAGATTATTGTTTTTGGTGAAGATATTAATTTGTTTAAATAAGTACATTTTGTAAATTATACATAACTTGAAAAAATAATTCCCCAAATCCATTTTTACATTTGTATACATGTATGTAACTAATCTGTTTTTATTATTAGAAAGTAAGAATTAAAGAACCAGTAGATCAAAGAGAAATGTGGTGGCGGACAACATTAAAAGTATGTATATTTCTATTTTTTCCTTATTATTCTTTCTTTTTGTATAGAAACTGTATGAAAGGAGGAACTGTTTATATCTATCAGTCATATTATAAACTTATCATTTCAGTAAAGCCATAGGAATTAGAAATATAATTTTAATTTTTCATATAAAACTCTGAAAAGTGAAACAAATCAGCAGGATTAGAGAAATCACCATGATTTCCAAAAATTTTATCCCGGTGTTTGGTGTTTGGGAGTACCAGGTGGCTAGGGAGGGAGAGGATCCAGGGATCCCAGAAACAATGGTAGAAAAGCCGGCTCATTTCACTCTCTCAGAACACCTGGCCTCCCCTCCACACTGGCTTCTATGACGTTTCCTTTCTACTAATCCCTTGATGACACCATTTAGTCTCCTCCTTCACCAGAATGCAGAGGAGACCCTGAACGTTTGGAAGCTTGGATTCCAATGTCCCCTAGGAAGTGGTATTTAAAAGCAGACTCGTTTGGTGGGGACCTAGGGTGAAGGGATGGGATACAGTGAGGCAGCCTCGACGGAGGGAGAGTTGCCCTATCTTTCCATTAGCTACTGTTCATGTGAAGACAAACACATAACTAGAAATGGTCGACACTTACAGGTCTCCTCTGCTCATTCCCCTGGAGAGGGCACAAGTGTAATGTGGAGAATCGTTGAGGGTATCAGAGGGCACAGTGTAGGGTAGGATAGAGTGGGATAAGGGACATGGGAGGGAGCAGCTGGGTGGCACAGTGGATAGAGAACTGGGTCTGGAGTCGGGAAGATATGAATTCAGTCCAGCCTCAGAAACTGTGTGACCCTGGGCAAGTTACTTAACCTCTATTTGCCTCAGTTCTTCATCTGTAGAATGGGGACATACTGGAGAAGGAAATGGATTTGTCTGTGGGGTCACAAAGAGTCGAACAGGACCGAAGGGCCAAACAACAACAATGAGGGACGTGGGAAAGATGGAATTAATATGGATTGGCATGAGGGAGCTGTAGTAGGTTTGAACAGTGGTCAGGGAAAGGAACCTTTGGGCTTAGGCAACCTACCAGTCAGAATCCAAGGGATGCTTAGTGAAGCAATAGGAAAATAGATTGTCATGTTCTTCATAGTAGCAACAATAATGTTGACTTTAATAATCTCTGAACAAAAGGTGAAAAGGGGGAGGGAGGGGTGGTACATATAAGCCTTGGTTCAGGGCAGATGGAGAATCTGCTGGGCTTGTCTTAGGGTCAAGACGGGGTAAGCAGAATTAGTCAGTAAGCACTTATTCAGTGTTTGATATATGCCAGGGGCTGTACAAAGTGCCTAGAATACAAATAAAGGCAAAAACAGTTCAAGGAGAGGGAAACAAAATGCAAATAATGAGGCCCATACAAGATGTATAAAAAAAAAAAGCATACGGAAGGCAATCTGAGAGGGAAAGCATTTGCAGCCAGGGAAGCCAGGTAGGATTCCCCTACAGAAGGTGGCTTTGGAGTCAGTCCTGAAGGAAGCCAGGGAGGTAGCCCTCGATGATTTTAGAGGGGTGGAGCATTTTTATTTGCTCACCAGCCACAATCAGCTCTGCCTAAGACCCACTCTCATGTTAAGTAGATGAACTCCCCCAGTGTTGGGGAGGGAGTTCAAGGGGATCGTTAGCCCTGGACTGGTGGCAGGAGTGGAGGGGAAGGAGTGCCAGGGCAGATGGATCAGTCCCTCCTCCTGCTGATGGTCGCAGTAGGGTTTGGTGGAATATGGGACTCCAGCGATGCTAATGCTAAAGCTTTTTTGCAACAAGTATATCAGAAATAAAATAATCAGGGTCCAGCCACCCTCAAAGTCTAGTTGTAGCAAGAGCATTTGGGTTGTATCACAGGGTTTCATTAAAGCACTCAGCAGTGAAGAGAGATGCAGATGATCTCAGAATCAATGTTGCTTTTCAACAGGAAACTCCCATACCAGGTACCTACACAGTGCGAGACTTTCTGGAAGAATCCCGTTTAAACCCGGTGAGCAATACATACAATTTTAAAAATGAAGGTAGATCCAAAGTCTCTTTTGTGGAATCGAGGAGAGATGCAACACTGCCTGATATACCCGAGTACGTGCCTCCTAACTTCATCGACCTGGTCAATAAGCAGATGGCTTCTTACTCATTCAAAGACACCCCAAGGCAAAACCCCAGCACGCTGTGTCTCAAAGATCAGGTAAAGCTCTATCTCTTGTTTGTGAGACTTGAGGTGATCCTAGGAGAGCCATTATCGATCTCCATGCTAATCATGTCCTTTAGAAATCAAGCTTTTAATTTTTGTTTTCTTTTTTAAACTTTGTTACCTGGGGTGGCTCTCTGAGGACGCAAGTAGAGAGGCCTGTATTCAGAAAGTGAGAGAGGCATTAGCAAAGGTATTAAAATGAATTAATTATTAAGAACAAAAGGTATGAATAAAAATATGATTAAGAGATTTTTTAAAAGAAGTCAAGCAGTTAGTATCTGTTTGCAAATACAGTATACTCAGCGTGAATATCCCATGGGGCTCCCCTGTTGAAATTTCCTTTGACCACTTTGGTCATGGGAGGCTACAGGCTCTCTTAATTCTGTATAAATAAATAGAGGGCTTCTTTCTGGCCCCTTAATAACTTCAGTTCAGAAGGGCCAGGTTCACTGAATAAAGTTTCGGGTTCTTTTAAAGCCAACTTAGATACCCTCTTATTTTAAACAATTGCCTCTATAATTAAAAAAAATTATTTCTATTGTTAAGTGCCTGCATCAATCAACCTGATTATAACAATGCCTTGTTTTCCTTTGTTTTTAAAGAATTATCATGGGCTGTATAATCTGGTAGAAGTGAGACCTGGCCTGACAGCCATGGGGGAAAGAAATAAACCTGTATTAAACACCTACCATGTGCTGGGCACTTTATGAATATTATCTCAGGAAGGTCAGAGTCTCATTCCAGATGACTTCATTCATAATTTCAAATACCTACTAGATGGCCTGACTATGGAGCCAGTGGTTTTTCCCCTGTACCAAATAGGTGGATCCAGTTGTCTTTTCAATTTATTTTTCAGAAAGGATTTGTCATTTTATATCCATTTTATATCATTCAAATATAGCTTAAAAAAATTGGGAAAACACATATAGTTATTTTACCTGACAAATACACACACACACACACACACACACACACACACACACAGATTTTTCATAGTGCTTAAAGTTTTGCAAATTGTTTTTCATACATTATCTTATTTCATACAACCCAATGAGGTAGATACTCTTATTATCCCCATTTTACAGAAGATGAAACTGAGACTAAAAGGAGATAAAGTGACCTGCCCAAGGTCACACAAGATAGTATCTAAGACAGGATTTGAACTCAGGTTTTCCAAAGTTCCAAGCTTAACACTCAAGCCACTGCCCCACACTGCCTCCTCCTCCATAGATCCACCAAATGACCTTCACCAAAGCCCTAGTTTGATGTTTCATTTTGGCTTTAAAGGTGTCCCTGGGTTCTCTAGAGCAGGGGTGTCAAACTCAAATAAAAACTGGGGGCACTGAATCATCATAAATCCCTGAGGGCTGCAGACTTACTTAGAAAACTTCTGCTCCAGAGGCTTTGGCAGGTCTAAATTCTGTGATCTGAGAACCCTCTTAGCCAAACCCAGAGAGACTCCTCACTAGAGTGTTAGCTACCACATGACTCAGTTTTTTTTTTTTAATCACAGCATCACTACTTCTTAGTAAAAACTCTAAAGGGGTTTATATTAGGTGATCTGTATTAGATATATGTTAGGTGGGGGAATGCGAATACTGATGAAATCACAGAGCCTTAAAATATTGAAGTATTATATAATGGGGGTGGAGCTTTTTAGATATTCAACTTATAACCTTTTCCCCCCATACATAAACAGCTGAATATTTTGGCTTTGTTAGCAAAACTCAAAAGAAATAATAACTTGAGTTAAGGTGAACATTTATAATTGAAAAACTCAGGGTTCATAATAACTAAAGAAGTTTTCATAAGCACTACCAATTAAATCTCAGATCAGTCAATCAATAAACATTTATTAAGCACCTACTATGTGCCAGGAACTGTGCTAAGTGGTAGGATACAAAAAGAGGCAAAAGACAACCCTTCCCCTCAAAAAGCTCACAGTCTAATCAAACGTTCATCCAATGTAGTTACTAGAGAATCTAGATCAGGGAATGTATTTATTTTATTTTATTTTAAATTTGATTTATATTTTTATTATTTTATTATATAGTATATATTTATTCTGTTATTTATATTTTTATTTTATATTATATATAAAGATATAACAAAATGTATTTTTATATGTTTTATTAATACAAATTAGAGAAAAACAAATGACACACTAAATACTTGAAATGTCATCATTTCAAGCAAAGCACAGTGGTACACACCCATAATACCAGCTCCTGGATAGGCCTAGGCTGTTGGATCACTTGATTCGGATTTCTGAGCTACAGCAGGGCTAAAGCCATCGGGGTGTCCACACTAAGTCTCTCCAACACCAACGTGATGGGTCTCCAGGAGCTGGGAGCAATTAGGCTTCCTAAGGAAGAACAAACCAGAGCAAGTCAAAGCTTCCATGCCCATCAGCAGTGAGATCGAGAATGGGAGGGCCTGCAGTACTTCCAGCATGGCTGACTTAGGGAGACCTAGTCTCAAAAAAACCCCAAAAAACTTCTATCATATTGAGTATGCTAACTGAAATTCAGGGTTGTGAAAAAGTGATTCCTCTTTGCATTGCAAGTTCGTGGGTGTGATGCAGTGTAGGCAGCATTCAGGAACTCATTCTCCTTCCATTATTTGAGTCTGTTTCACTTCCTACAACCTCTTCTCCCCTTCTGTAAGCTTAGTGTGTTTCCTGTGTAATGGTTATCTTTGAAATCTTTCTGAAGTTTAGTCTGGGGAGATACTTTTTCTTGGTTGTAGTCACTCAAATAGTGGCCTACTTTAGTGGCACTTGGGTTTAAGGTTGAACTACTGGACCATGGCTTAAACCTCTCCACATCTTTCCACTTAGTGTTAAATAGCTTTTTGTCTTAAATTTCTAGGCATGGTCATCGGGCCATTAAGACTCTTCTTCCATTTGCTGAATGGGATTTATTATTAAATTATCTATTTATTCATTCATTATTTAATTATTTATTTTTTAATTTTATGCCTCAACAATCTGGACTCAGCTCTTTGAGTCACACGGACTGTCTTTCAATGTGAGGGACAGCTTGAGTGATCCTTCCTGCTCCAGCCAGGGCTGAGTTGTGAAATGACCTCTTAACTTTCTGTAGATGCCCGCTTGTTCCCTGAACCGCCATCCTGTCTTCCACTCAGTTTTCACTTTTTTTTTTTTTGCTTTTTTGGCTTGGCAATGGGATTAAGTGACTTGCCCAGGGTCACACAGTTAGTAAGTGTCAAGTGTCTGAGGTCATATTTGAACTCAGGTCCTCCTGACTCCAAGGCTGGAGCTCTATCCACTGTGCCATCTAGCTGCCCCCCTAGTTGTCACTTCTTTTAGGCCCACTGTGGAACAGGAAACAGTCTTCACAGCTCCTCTCCGAGCCTCAGATTGCCACTCTGTTTTGCTTTTTTTGTGCCCGTCTTATTTCCCTTACCACAAAAGACAAACACAAAATATTTGACATGTCATAATGTAAAATCCAGTGTGGCACGTGCCTATTACAATCCTTGCTTCTGGGAAGACTGAGGCTGGAGGCTTCTTTATCCTTGTAACCCCAGAACAGTGCCAGGCACCTAGTAGCCACTTTATTCCATACTCGTTGATTATTTGACTACTAGGTTGTCAGACACTCCTTGAGAACTTGGGATCAGGTTTTATCTCTATCAGCATCTAGCACAGTGCATTTCCTACAATAAGTAGGTGCTGAATAGATAAACGGTGGTTGCATAGACATTATTTCAAAGCACCTTTACAGCTATGCCTCCTCCTGTATTCATATAAACCCAAGGTGATTTTAGAAGTAGTGACTGACCCTGAGGTCTGTGGAACACAATGAACATTACTTCATTAATTATCTAGGTTAATAGCCGATTCTGCTGTGCTTTATTTATGGTGCTCAGTTATGGCAAGACCTCTGGGCATCTGCCTGTAAAACCCGATTAGAAACATTAATTGGCTGAGACAGAGTGTTTCTATGTTCTGTACTGCCCAGTTCCTTATTATCACTGGACTATGGAAGCCCAATTGTGATAGGAAGAATTCTACAGGAGAAGCCTTTCCAGGAAAATCCCATGCCGAAGCAGGAAGTTAATACACACAGTTAACAGTCACACATACTGACAATGCGACCATGATGCACAGGGAGATGGTCCCTGCACTAAGACTTTGGACTGCTCAATGCACCATGAAAAAAGAAGGAAACGAAACCGTTTTTGCAGTTAATGCCAAATAAAAGAGCTGAGGTGTCAGATCCTCTAAGGAGCCCCAGTCTTCTCGATCAGTTTCAGCCGTGTTGCCTAAAGCCCTGACCCATATTTCAGGGCATTTCCATGACGCTTCATTCCAAAAGTCTGATTCTGATTGCTGACTGTACATGAACAAACAGTTGTTTTATCTTTAGGGTTCAGTGTTTCAGCTCTAAATTTTAGCCATAACCAATTTTTCTTTGGAGTTTGTAATATCAAGAAAATACTAAGCCACAGCAATAGTGCAGCTTATACCTTTTAAAATCAAAATTACATTTAAAAAGCAAAATTTAAAATTAATTCATATTTACTCTGATCATCATTACTACTGCAAAATCTGCATCTGGGGCCAGAAATGCATATCATTTTATAAAGAGCAGCTATGTGGTAACTAGGGTAATGCCAATCACATATGGACAATGCTAGCACATGTATGAAAACCTGATTTAGAAGGGGAAAAAAAACACCTTAGGGGATAATTTTTAACTTTAGAAGATAATTTACCAAAGAATCTCTTTAATAATAGCCGCTTTAGTACACTTAAAGTATGGTTTATTTTCCAATAATTTTATATGTCTATAACCTTTTATGATGCTCAAGGACACATGATTTCGTGAAATGCAGTAGATTTCAATTGAATGACCACAAAGAGGAAATATAGTGTAATGGATAGACTTGTAGGCTTTGAACCAGAAAGAACCGGATTCAGTTCCTGCCTTTAGCTAATGGCAGTGGCCAAATCACTTAACTTTTCTCAGCCTCAGATTTGGAGGCTTCTCTGCTGTTCTGCAGAGACTCTGTGATGTGAATTAGTGAAGGGAGTTCCCATACTGATAAAAATACAGATTATTAGTGACATGAAACAGTATTTTAGACATCTATCTTTGAAAATGTGGTTTGAAAAAGTTAAACACAGCTTTCTTACACTGCTGAAATAGAGAAAGTAATTCTATATGAATTATGATCTTGAGATAAAAGATTACAAATGACAACAAAATGACTTGAAGACCTGTGTGAATCTATTATTGTTATATTATAATATCATCTGTTGTAACTATGTTACTATTATTAGAGTGTTGTTAATCTATGTCCATGTCTTACAGAAAATTGATGTTTCACCAGGGCAATATAATATTGTTTCAGCACCAGTTCCCAAGTTCCTTGCCAGGTAATCACTATTTATTATCATTAAATTGATTATTTAATTTATATAATTCCCCTCTAAAAACTCCTTAAGAACAATTATGATAGTTTTAAATTTTCATTTCTGCCGAGCATAATATTTCTTCAACCTTTACTATAATAATATGAAGGAATTCTAATATTTCTCAAGAGACAGAAATTAATAAAATGTTGACTAAAAGAAAAATAGGTTTAAAAAATGACATGTTGCAATTTTTTTTTAAAATACAGGCACTATGTGTTCCGTTCTACAGTTCAGAGGTTTCCAACATATTATTTTCTTCCAGTAAGTACATTGTTGATAACTGTTAATTCTTGATTTTGAAAAGAGAGACACTTGGTTTCCAACATTCTAGCTGATCCTTTTGAGACATTGTCATAGGAGGCTAGAACGGAAAGGGACCTTGAATCTAGTCCAACACCTTCATTTTATATTTGAAGAAACTTGAGTCCCCTTGAAGGTAAGTGACCTGCCCAAAGGCACCCAACCTGTAAGTGGCAGAGCTGGGGAGTAGAGATCAGTTTCCTCGCTTCCAGTTCAGTGCTATTTAAAGAAAAATATTTCGCCAATGAAGCAAATAGCAAATGGATGCTACTCTTTGATTTAATGCTGAAAATAAATTGAAGATTTTATAAATCTTGAGTCATTTGTAGCAAATTATGAGGTTAAGCAGACAAGATTATTCAGGAAATAAGCAAGAATGCCTGGTTTCTTCCCTCTTAGGAGTTTAAAAATGCTTTTTTTGTCTCTTAAAATTTCTACTTCTGTTAGTGAATTGTGGCTAAAATAGACAGGTTCTCTGGAAGATGAATAAGGATATGTAAAAAAAATTAATATTCATATGGTAGCTCCAATAGAGGAATGAGATGAGGAGATTATAAAGTGAATAAAGCTGTGGTTTTTCTCATTTTTGGGGGGGAGTGCTATATTTATCTGAATATGTATGATCTATTAGAACATCCAGGTGAGGGACAGAACAGATGGGATGAAGAGGATTTGAATTCCAAGTCAGGTAAAGAGAAAGAACACGGTTGCTTTAAACAGGACCAGGTCTCCTAGGAGGAGCTTTATCATAGAGCACTGAAAGAAACTGCATAAGTCATCACAGAACCACTCCTGGGGATCTTTGAGAAATGATGGATATGGGGAGGAGGGACTGGGCAGTTAAATCCATGATCACTTGATCTCTTCCCTCACGCCCCCATACACACACATAGTGAAATTATAGAAGGTAAGGGACGAGTAAAAGAGATACAGTGAGGTCTGATGAAATGAAAGAATGTAAGGGGCATGTCAGAGAGATAAAGAAGTTCAGTCAGACTCGATGGAATTAGAGGGTGTTTGTTGCAATTGGTGGTGGTGGTAGTGGTGGTCCTTGGGGGAAGACTAATGACATCGCTGCTGGCCCCTGATTAGCTGGGGCAGCTGGGTGGCACAGCAGATAAAGTGCCAGGCCTGGAGTGGGAAAGACTCATCTTTCTGTTCAAATCTGGCCTCAGACACTTACTAGCTGTGTGACCCTGGGCAAGTAGCTTTACCCTGTTTGGCTCAGTTTCCTCATCTGTAAAATGAGCTGGAGAAGGAAATGGAAAACCACTCCAGGCCACAAAGAGTTGGACATGACCGAAAGGACTGAACAACAGCAAAAACCACTGACTGCCTATACCCCTGTTGGCCTTTTAGAAAAAAGCAAGGCAGGGGCAACTAGATGGCACAGTGGATAGAGCACCGCCCCTAGAGTCAGGAGGACCTGAGTTCAAATTCGGCTTCAGGCACTTGACACTTACTATCTGTGTGACCCTGGGCAAGTCACAACCCCCGACTGCCTCACCAAAAAGAAGAAAACAAACAAACAAACAAACAAACAAAAAAAGCAATACACTCTTTAGGGAGTCAATTGAGACAGGAGACATCTCTAAGAGTATGAGCTCTGGGAGTGGAGAAGACAGCCAGCTATTGAAAAATTCCCTCGTGAGAGGAAATCATCTCTCACTTCTTAGAAAGGAAGAGACTTCTCTATCCTCTCCTCTGTCCCCCATCATCCATGACATCTTGCACCATCAGGAAGAAAGGAGTAAAGCCATCAGAGATGCTACCCCCAGAGGACGTCATGAGAAAGGGGCCTTGGAACATCAGAAGCATGAGTTGGCATGGCCGTGTGTGTTTCCCCAGCTGTGTGTCTCTCTGCTAGTGTACCCTGTGTGTTTGCTCACTCTGTGTGCATCTCAAGCTTATGGGGGGTGAGTGGAGTTAATATTTTGTGGCTACTCGTCCCTATGTCATTATCTTGGTAAACGCCTTTTCAATCCACCAAATAGACCCACAGAATACCTTCATACATGCTTGGGCTCCAGCCACATGGCTGTTCCATGACCTGGCTTTGCATGTCTGTTGCTTTTGGACTTTTGTATAGGCCTTCTCAGCCGTGCCTGGAGCATACTCCCTCCCCACCTCTGCCTGTTGAAATCCTTGTCTTTTCTCCAAGGCTCAGCTTAGATGCCACTACCTCCTCCTTGATGCCCTTCCTTGCTCTTTGCAGCTAGTTCACTCTCTCTCAAATTTCCTTAGAGTACTTTGTCTGTCTCTCTCCTTTGTCCTTACTACATTCTACCTGGTGGCGCACATGTTGTACCCCATCTCAATTAGATGGTAAGCTCCTTAAGGACGAAGGCTATATCACTTTTCAGTTTCGTATCCCCACCACCTGACACAGTACATTACACATAGTAAGTGCTTAACAAATGCATTTGAGTTGATTTCATTTGTTGAAAGCAATTTGTAAACTGAAAAACACTATATAAATTGTAAGTTGTTATAGTTTTTATTATAATGTACTTTCATAAATAGAATTGTGGTTGAATAGGATCCCAAAGTTACCTCGAAGGCACAATACAATAGTGTTTGTGTATTCATGAGCAAAAAATTTGAAAAAATCCATAAGCACAAAGTTGTTTTTCTTTTTCAAATAGGACATATTTTTCTCTAACTATTCCAATTCTTTTGATCCAATTTGTCCTAAATATAAAATAGTATAATGAGAGAATTGGCTTCTACTGTGTTGCATTCCCACCCCCACTTGGTCATTTAAACTGCACGACCTTGTGTGGATGTGGTCAGGCTGACATCTGAATAGAGACAGGCTTGCCATTTTGTTTGTCTCCACAAAAAGACCTCCATGTGCCCATCAGCTTCCTTGTAGGATTTGCTGAAGCATAAACATTACTTTTATCCTTCCTTATAGACCTGGGGAAAAAATACTCAAAACCCAGTTCCCAATCACTTCTCACTCGGTCATTCATGCGTGTGGGGGGAGAAAAAAATCCATCACTGCTTATTTGAAGGGATGGCATGCAGCTGCAACAGACTGTTTTTAGTTCATTCTTGAAGGGTATTCCTTTGGAGTGATAAAGTAGATGTTAACCCTGAATTTGAAATTCCTCCTTTGTGTCTCTGTGACCGGGACCCTCAGCGGTGGAAAATCCATTTATTTACCAGTTTGTAAATAGCCTCTTTACAGTACAGTTGCTAAGCTCTTTAGTTCACAAATGTGCAACAAGATTTTATTAGGTACAATTGGTGCTTTGGTTGTTGGCTGCTGGTTGGAAAATGGTCTCTCATTCTTTGGGTTGAAGCCCTGCCTTTGATGCATACTGTGTAGGTGACCCTGGACAAGTCACTTATCTTCTCATTCCTCGGGGCACCTCTCTAAGACTTTAAGTTTATTGAAAAAAAAAAAGGTGCCAAACTGCTTTGTTAGAGGGACTTTCCTCATTTGGAATTCTTATTTGGTTGTGTCTGATTCTTGGAGACCCCATTGGGGTTTTGTTGGCAAAGATACTGGATTGGTTTGCCATTTCCTTCTCCAGCTTACTTTATAGATGAAGAAAATGAGGCACACAGGGTTGAGTGACTTGCCCAAAGTCACAGAGCTAGGAAGTATCTAAGGTCAAATTTGAACTCGGGTCTTCCTGACTCCAGGCCCAATCCCTATCCACTGTGCCACCTACCTCCTCGTCTAGAATTTCCTTGTAACATAAATGAAATTGCTGGTTGAGTTCCTATCCCTATCCTAATTTGCCATTTATTGCTGTCACTGATATCCAAAGTAGGGAATTATGAAGCCAAAGTTTGAGAAGACAAGCTGATAAGCTGGAAACAACGTTTGTCATCACTTTGGGGTTTGTGAAGTTAGCCCTTCAGATTCAGAGCTTGGTTTTTCTCATTAGCATCATGGCCGCTACTAGGGGAACCATGGTAGCTGGCTTAGGCTGTGTGAGCCAATGTGGCGGCCCTCACAGCACTTTGCCCCTTTCTTATGGACCCTCGTGATATATACAAGCCTTTTCTTTTCTACAATACAGTGGGCGGTTTGGCCAAATGACCCATTTCTTATTCTTCTTGTGAGATAGGATGATAGTATGGATGTATCAAAAGATCTGAGTTCAAATCTTGGCTCTGACGATAGCTGAATGACCTTAGACAAGTCACTTAACCTTTCTGATTATTAATTAACTTGACATAAAACAGAGAAGCATGGGCACTCTTTACCTAACAAGATTGTTGTGAAAACCAAACAAGATACTATGTGTAAAGTATTCTGAAAATGGAAAACACTATATTCATGTAAACCATTACTCATATACCCCTCAGTGCCTAACATGTTACCTGGCACACTGTAGACATTTGATAAATATATCTTGAAGTTAATTGAGAAAACATAGTTGAATCCACTTTTTTTTTTGGTAGAAACCCTTCATAGTCCTTAAATGAACCAGATCAGCAGAAAGTTCTCTTCTCTGCTCCATTATGTTCCTTTCCTTGTGGGACTCGAGGGTAGATTCAGCCTTTGTGCACCTTGCAAGGCTCAACCTGTGAATGTGATGGATGAAAAATAGTTCTCCCATCTTGTGTAAGTCACTCTTGTTCACTCTGTGATTAGAACTCAGTTGTGCGTGGAGGTGCTTCAGAGAATTGATTCATCATTTTTGCTGAGCCTAGTTGTCATGGGTGTTTTTCTTCCAGTTACTTATTAAGAACAAGATAGTAAATGTGTGATGTTCTTGATGGGGTGGGGAGCAAAACCTTGGGATTAAAAATTCCTTTAGTCATATATAATAAATTTGTAATGTGGGGTTCCGTATGTTTCACAATATTGTGTTTTTTAGAAATATATGAAAAACTAGTAATGAGGACAGAATTAGATAAACAGAAAAAAGCTTGTGTATAGCTATAAATGGGTTTTATTTGATTTTTTTACTTGATAACATTTATAAAGTTTTTTAAAT